CTTCTGACACTTACTATGCTTCCTTTAGCTTCCCATGTTTTTGAGTATCACTGTACTATGTTTGCAGGCTTGGGACTGCAAAAGTGCCAGTTTGGTATGATTCAGTCTCTGCCTTGTCATGACTGGGTTATGGGTGAGATGATTAAGTAGAACAGAGACCAGTAGCTGACTTTGAGGAGAGCAAGTGGTTACAGCTATGCAATTTTGCACATGCATCTAGGACAGCAGGCTCCCTGCCTTCTAATCACCCATCCCCCTAAAAAAGGAAATAAAGAAAATTTGTTGAAATATTTTCCTTGGTTCTTGGGAACTGGAGCCAAGCTGTAAGACAGCTTGTGATCTTGTTCCCATGTGGGTGGATCCTTTGGCTTAGGAGTGAGCTAACTTCATGACTTAGGCTTGATTTATTATTATAAGTGGTGGGAAGTTAAATCGTGGGAATCTGCCCAATAAGAGTGGGATTTGTAAGGGCTGGTGGCAGGGAGCAGACTGCCTATAGCTGGGGCAGTGGAGTCAGGGCCTCAGCCTCGCTCCAGTTGCCAGGGCTCCGGCTGGCTTGGCTAGTGGGCCTTCAGGCCCGCTCCCTAGGTGGCTGTAATGGAGGAGGCACAGTAACACTGTGGGCAAAGGTAGAATAGCCTCGAAGCCCGGGTCCTGGGCTGGCATGTGTGGCTGCAGCTCAGTTTCTCCCCAGTGATAGAAGAAAGGAGTGTTGGGAGAGTTAGCTCCAGAGTGGAGGTGTTTAGTGAATCGTCTCTTTAGGACTCTGAACTGCAGTGGCCTAGGAGAGGGACAACGGGAGCGCTGAAGGAAATCACAGCAGCTTGGGCACCAGTCCAGTGGGTAGTTGTAGAACTTTTTGTAATTCCAGCCCAGGGCAGAGGTTTTCCCAGCATTTTTCTCTCAGTTGTTGCTCCTTTACCCCTCTTTGTGCTTCAGGATGCCTGTCTGATTGAGGGTTTGGTTAGTGAGAGAAATGGCATGTCCTTAGATTGGGCCCTTCAGTGACATGTCTTCTGGGGGCCAGGTCTTCTTTCTTGTTTTGATCTGTTTCTCTATCACCAGGTCACACCTCCTAATTTCTCAATGTCACAAGTGCCCAATAATCCCAGCGGTCCCCAGGCTTACTCTGAACTGCAGACGCTGTCGCCCAGTGAGCGGCATTGTGTGGAGACAGTGGTCAACATGGGCTACTCATATGAGTGTGTCCTGAGAGCCATGAAGAAGAAAGGAGAAAACATCGAGCAGGTGAGCGGTTGGCCAGTGGGGGGGATAGGAGGGAGCTTCAGGTAGGAGAGGCTCTTGGCCTTTGGACCTGAGTTACTGTATGGTTCTAGCCTAGAGCCCGTTAGCCTCATGGCACCAATGTCATTTCCTGAGTTTGGTGGGGGGGCTTTATAGACACACTTTATTGGGGAAATCAGTGGCCTCAGCAGCAGTTGTTCTGCTTTGGGACGACTCTGGGGTCTAAGCTGAGGGAATGCCTTGGGTATTGGAGCTATTGGACGGTAACTGAGTGTCTCCTGAGACCGCACGCTAAGCTTCTGGATGGTCAGATGTCTACTTCCTGTTTTGGCTGCCTGGGGAGTGTAAAAGAGGGCACTGTGGTGCTAAACTTCGGTAGCATTTTCTAAGTGGGGCTGTTTCTTAGAGAAATACCAGCCCAGGCTATGGAGCTGAGGTTCTGGGAGATATACGTGAGCTGTGGTAGGAACTACTTTAATAATGGCTACTCATACTTAGAAAAATGTACTTGTGTATAAGGAAAATACTTGTGTATAAGGAAAACTGAGGTTCTGTATAGGACACAGCTCAAGACACAAAATCAAGTCCCATCAAGGATCTATCTGGGGTGGGAGGTGGGAGGGGGAGAAGTTATATTTGTTGGTTTATAAGACTCTTGGACAACAAAGATAGGAGTAGCAGTATGTGCTCAAACCTTATTTCTTTTCACAGATTCTGGACTATCTCTTTGCACATGGACAACTCTGTGAGAAGGGCTTTGATCCTCTTTTGGTGGAAGAGGCTCTGGAAATGCATCAGTGTTCAGAGGAAAAGGTGGGAACCTTTATGGGAACCCTCTAGAAAGGAAGCACAGAGTGTGTCCCAGACTCTCTCCCCCCCCCCCCCAAACAATTCCCCCTCCCAATGGCTATGGGCAGAGGCAATAGAAGCACGGAATCTTCCAAGTGTCCAAAGAGATGTTTGGCTAGTTTGGGTCTCTCTGGCTTCGATGAACCATTAGGTTGAAGCCTCACTAGGACCCCAGGGAAGGGAAGGGAAAAGTGACTTTGATCTGGGTTCAGTGTGTACATGAGTGATGGGGCCCAAATGGATGTCAGCAAGAGTTGGGACTGAGTGTGGCTTCCGAGGGGTGACAGGCTGTGGCACCCACCTTGGTGCCCTGTGAGAGGCCTTTGTGGTTCCAGAAGAAGATACAGACTCCCCCAGGCAGCCCCTGTACACACATTACTTCAGCTGTGCTATGTGGCTATAGCACTTCTTTAATCTGTATTCTTTTCTTTCCCTTAGATGATGGAATTTCTTCAGTTAATGAGCAAATTTAAGGAAATGGGCTTTGAACTGAAAGACATTAAAGAAGTTCTGTTATTACACAACAATGACCAGGACAATGCTTTGGAAGACCTCATGGCTCGAGCAGGGGCCAGCTGAGACCAGGCCCCTGCCTAGGTCCTGCCACGGAACACCCCCCTGCAGGAGGCCCTGCAGAGCCACCTGTGGGACACACTTCCAGATTTTCTTTTTGGGGTGGGTGGGGGGTGGAAGTCAGGTGTGGAGACTGCTTGCCAGCCTCTGCTCACCTAGGCTCTGAGCTGAGGAGAAACTGGGGAAGATTGGGGCATGTGAACACCCCCAGAACTGTCCTTGCTCCTTCCATATTAAAGGTATTTGTATTTTGAGAAGTGCCCTTCCCACCTTGGCCCTCCAGAGGGATGTCCTGGTCTTTCTGGGGTATGTCCTTAGCTGAAACCTGGCCTGGCTGCCCGAAGGAGTCAGGAAGCAAGGTGGGAGGGCCAGATTCAATGCTGCTTTGGGGCTAGATACTTCCCTCCTCTGTGCTGGTGGATTGAACTCTAACCCAGGTTGAGTGCAATTGAAAGGTTTTCCAGGGTTTTGTTTCATTTTCCCCCTTTCGACAAGAGTTTTAGTGTTACACTGGTTCTGCAGAGCCTGAGGTGCAAAGATACCCTTTTCCCCAAGGGGCCTTTGGTTTGCCTCTTCAGCCAGGCAGTTCCCCAGCCTGTTTATTTTGGCTTGGTTTGGGCCACAATCCTCCGCTACCCAGGATTTTTAGGACTCCCACCCCCACCCCCGCTCTAATAGTTGTCAGTTTAATAAATCATTGGATCCTTCCTAGCACAGAGTGGGGGAGAAACAAGCCACGATTTAGTCGCTCAGCACTAATTCCACACCTCAGTTCTCCTGGAGAACAGCCTCTCCCTCCAGCCCCCTGCTCTAGGATGACACAACGAATAACACCTAGTCATAGAAATCAGTCTCTTTGGTTTGTTTTGTATTATATGTTGTACATCATTAAAGATCTAAATACAAAGGATATACAGTCTTGATGAATCTAAAGGAATTTGCTAACTATTTTGATTCTTCAGAGATAACTAATAAAAATCTAAAAGGTATATGCTGCTGTAATAATTCATTGCCAGAGATTATTTAACTATGGGAAGAGAGGGTGAATGTGGGTGGTGAAGGATTTCCTACTTAGATTTGCTGGGGTGGAACAGGACCCACTGTTCTGTCATTTCAGTGTTTTCTCCCTACTCTGGGCCTGTGGGGTCCAGTAACTGGCCCCATCAGCCTACGCTGGGGTTTGGTTTGCAAAAGCAGGCCCAAGTGAAGGTCTGTTTAAATCGGACCTGGCTCTGTGTCTGGGCCAACGACAGATAATGTGTGTGTGTAAGTGGGGCTGGAAGTTCCACTTCCCCTGCAGGAAGTCACCCAGAGGTGAGGAAGATGTCCCCTTTTCCTGTGAGTGGCATGGGCATCTGTGTGCTGCCAGTGGTTCTGTTAGATCTGATAAAACTAAATTCATTCATAAAATTTGTCCTATAACATCCTCCTGTGCTCTTGGTTGGGAGTGGGTCTCTGGTTTCAGTGATCGCTCACCCTTTAGGCCAGGAAGCACTACTAGAAAGAAGGCGCCCTCTGGCGTTCAGATATGGCACAGGCTGAGACTGACAAAGGGCTGGCAGGTTGTCTGCTCTAGTTTCAGAAAGTCAGTTAGCCGCCCCGGGGCCTGTTTAAAGTATTAAAAGTTATCCTTCATTACTCTTAGGCAATTTAAAGTTCCACACCCTAATGGGTGTCTGGGCCAAGGCTATGTCACATGAAATCTCAATTTGACCGAGGTGGCCTTGGAAAGTGATGGGCCACCTAGATTGTGTATTTTGTGTTGTTTGTCCTGCCCAAAAGATAGAACTTACGTGAGAGGGTATGTGCGCATAATTGTCCTACAGCATCTCAGACTGTTGAGGACTCTGCCATTAAATAGATCACAGGCCCCTGGGGGGTGGGGGAGGGGAGTGGAAAGCCAGGGTGATCCGTGGATGGAGGTGAGGTTATAGGGTTTGGACTTGCCTGAGATCCTTCAACTCTTCACCTAGTCCATGAGGGCGTCTGGAACTGCCCAGGGGCAGGAACTGCCCAGCAGCATGAAGGTTCTGGAGCTGGTAACAGGCTGGTGGTCCCAAGCAAAAGGCAGAGATGGGGGAAAAATGCAGTGATGTGGGCACCCTCTTCTGTTTCAAAACTAGATTGCATGCAGGGAGGAAAGCAAAGCATAAATCTGCAGCTGTTAAATATGCATCAAGTCAATGTTTATTTTTCATTTTTCACAATGTAACCTGAAATCCCAAATCAATTTCCAAGGGCTGCAGGAACAGAACTCACCCTGCCCTCATCCCACTAGCACCAGGGTTGGTTTTTGGCAGAGTCTTGATGAAAGGCACAGAGTTCAGCTGATGAAGTCACTGGGCTGTCTTCAGCTTGTCACCGACACCCCCTGCCCCCATTCTCCGATTCTCAAACTCAAATACATATGACCAAGTATGTTCCCAGATAAGAGGAAGGCACATTCCTTTCCGGCCCTAAAGGAAAGGAAGAAAGCATACTAGGTTCTTTCTCACAGATACAGCTGTGCTTGGAATGGAGGGACAGAGGCCTGACGTTGAGAGACGAGGCCATGCGTGAGTAGGTGAGGCAACGATCGGCAGGACCAGGAAGTGAGTCTGGTATCTGCAGGGAAGCTCTGGCAGATGCCTCTTCAGTCCCTGAGCACCCAGCACAGGCTCCTTGAACTGTCCCTCCCACCCTGTACCGGATCTTGTTCTAAGACACCACGGTCCTCTCAGGGGCTGAGGCTGGCTTGTGGCAAGCCAGATAGAGCTGCAGCTGGCTCCGCAGACTCTGGATACACTTGCATTTCAGAGCCATGATTTCATCCAGCTGGGTCACAAAATCTTCAAAATCCTGAAAAAAATAAAGACAAATGGCACTTGTGTTCTTGCAGGCTGTTTGTCAAATCTACTTAGAAGAAAGTTTCGAAGCCTAGGCCTTTTCCAGCTGGAAACCTGCAGGACAATCCTACATTTCACTTGTGTTACAGACACTTTCTATCTAGGGAGGTATTTTGTGGAGCAGGGTATTTCTGCACCTGCAATTTGCACGCAGTAAGTCACATGGACCATCACAGGGAGGGGCCCCAACAAGCCACTAGGAAGGCAGGATGGCTAAAGAGGCCAGAAACATTTTAGCCTGGGAACAGGGGTGTAAAACACTTATCTCCCACCTGTCCTTGGAACCCCTTGTACTGTCTCATCTCAGAGCAGGGGTGAGAGGATGTGCAAGTCCTCAACAATAAGTAGTATGTGACAGTGCTACCTTCACCCACAAAATTACAACAAACAAGGGCTACTGTCACTAGCTCTGAGTGTCCAGCCAAAGCCACTTACGTGAGGAGCCAGCCGGCTCATCAGAGTCTCCTCCTTGAAGACCAGCTCGGCCATTTCATCCAGCTGCTCCTGGTGTGCTCGGATAACCACCTGCCTGGGAATAACAGAGGGACACTGTGATCTTCTGGTCCTTCCACCTTTCCTGGGCAGTTTTCTGGAGCTCAGCCTCATTTCCAGACCAGAAGCTGTCTGCCCATGCGGTCAAGGATCTGACCAGGACAGTTACCCTTTTCCCCACCTCACTTGTTTTCAGGCTCTGTCAAGGAGTGAAGGAGTGCCATGGAAACAGCGGGGAAGATGGGCAGAGACTGTCTACCTGCGAGCAGTGGGCTCCTCATTTGTACAACCCTGCTTGTCTAGAAAGCTGGTTATCAGGAGCTCTGGCAAAGGGCAACAGGCTCATGGAGGAAGCATCTGTTCCCACAGGCTCACCCTCTGCCCTCCAGCTCCTGGGCCTCAGATGCTGAGAAGGACCCTGGCGTAGACCTCTCCGTCTCCTTCCTTTCACATCCTCTTAGGCTGTCTCATCTCTTCTTTCTGTCCCGTACTCAGCAACCTTTGGGAAAAAGGCACTAATCCCCAGTCCCTCTGTTTTTGGCCTTTCCCGTCTTGGAAGGTGCTTTGTCTTGGCTGCGAGGGCACAAAATTGAACAAGGACGACACTTCAGGGTCACAGGCCCAACGCATGAAGAGGAAGATTCTGATACACCATAGGCCACAGGCTTAAGGGGACTGATCTCCCTTCTCTCATTCATGTCTCAGCTTTGTCAGTCTAAGGCAAGAGCCCCCAACAGCACTGCTCCAAGACATTTTATTCCTCATACTATGGCTGAGAAATCCATGCAGGCTCCCCTGACAAGTAGAATAAAAGCCACTCTTGTGATAAGGCCCTGACACTGAGCCAACTGGTCACTCCCAGAACAGACAGACGTTAAGTGGGGGTGGGAGTGGGGGTATCAAAAGGGTTCAAGTCTTGGGGAGAAAGTCCAACTTACTGTGCATGCCCCAGGGTGGGCTGACCGAGCATCCCTGCCATCTTGGGAGAGCCTGGCTTTGCTGAACAACTTGGCCTGTGTTTGAGCCATGCAACATCCTCATTGTAGTGGGGGAACTTGACAGGATCTGTGGATAAATCCAGGCCCTGCCAACTAAGCCCCGCCGGAAGCTTTCTCTCCTGGACCCAGGGCTGGTCAGCCACATCAATACTTTCTGTTCGTGTGCTGAGTGTAGGCCCGGAGTGAGGTCGCCCAGGGTGTATGGCAGTAAAGGGCTTTCCTGGAAAGCCCCGGAAGCTGCCCAGCTCTGTGTCCTCAGCATCTGCATCATACTGCTCACTAACCACAGGTTCCTGGGAGAGGAATACAGTGTCTCTGCTCTGGCCGGCCTCTCCCAGCTCAGCCTCCCTGGAGGGCGGCCTGTCGGGTGGGTGCTGACGGATGGGTGACGGGGACAGAGCTGGAAGATCCCCACCAGGCTTATTGTCAGGAGGAGATGATGAGAGCCACAGGTGCCCAGCTGTTGAAGACAGTGGCAAGACTGACTCTTGATCATCGGGTAACACTATGCGGCCCACAGCTGCGCCCACCAGACTCTGCGTAACCTCATCCTGGGCCACCTGAACCAAGGGCGGCGAGCCCCCACTGTCTGGGTTCTCCAGGAGGGACACGGTAAGGGGAGCCATCAGTCCAGAAGCGTATTCTGAGCACGTGCCCAATTCCCCTCTCGAGTCTTCTTCCTGGAAAGGGTCACAGTTTTTCATTGTTCTTGTTGCTGGACTTGGGCTGTCTTCACTGACCTCTCTCAGAGGCATGTTGACTATGTCTCTCAGGTCTGGGGATCCAGGAACTGCAATGTGGGAGAGTGAGGAAGTGAAACTATCTTCCTCCAGGGACAGCAGGCCGCCCTCCGCCTCCTGAGCAATCTCACTCCTGAAGGCAGCCTGTCTGGGATCAGCGGCTGGGCCACCTCTCTTCTGGCTGCCCACAAAGTCAACCTGTGAACTGTAAGGTTTCTCTGCCAGGCCGTCTCTGGGAGGCGGCCCCAGGGAGGTATTGCCTCCTCTGCTGCAGTCCAAGGGCACCTTACTGGGCTTGTGGCCAGGATCGAATGTCCTTCTGTGACCAGCGTGGTCCCTGACATTCATCCAGCTTCCAGTTAGACCCTTCTCATCACTCTCTGTCCCGGGGCTAAAAAGCAGACTCTGCTGCCTTTCTACCTCCTGTTCCTCAGGTCCTTGCTCTCTCTGGTGAAGGAAGAACGAGGCTTCGCTGTTCTGCAAGGTGTTTCTCTGCTTCGTGGTCCTCTGACTGGAGACATGTGAAAAAGAGTCTTCACTGAAGTCGCTGTCGTCCAGGTCCTCGGCCTGGGCTCCATCACGGCTCTCGGAATAAGCGCGGGAAAGAGTCGTCTCATCGCGGAGCTGCCCATCTCGGGGCCGGGCCTGGCACAGGAACTTTTCCAGGGGTTGGTACTTTAACTTCTGCTGGAGGAGAGGTGGCTGCTGGAACTGCTGGTGATAAAAGCGCAAATGTTCCTCTCTCTCCTTCTGATGTGGAGGGATGCTGGTCCAAGTTTCGGAGGTGGGCCTGGCAGGCGTGCCCCCCTTCCTGCCCTGGCTGGACTCAGTCGAGTGGTGGACCTTGCCAAAGGAGAGCTCGACTCGTGACACCAGCTGCTTCTGCACTGGCTGCACAGTCTGTACTTTCTTACACCTGGAGGGCAGCTTGCCCCGCGCCAGGCCTTCTCCTGAGCCAGGGGCTCTGCTTCCCCACCCGAGGGGAGTTCTGTGGCTGATCTGATTTTTCTCAGGGCACGGTGAGACTGACTCTTCTGTTCTTTTTTTAGTTAAATGTCCTGCCCGCAGGGTTCCTTTGACAGGGGTCCTCAGGACAGCCCTGTCTTCGGGAGGGCTGCCTCTGGAGCCGCCCCTTTTACCAGGGACTTTAGGTGCAGAAGCAAAAGGGATGTTGGGTGGGTGGGTGGCCAGAGGATGGGCCTTTCCTCTCGTGGAGCCAGGGGTCACGGTAACTGATGGCTGAAGTCCCAGCTTGACTTTTTTCGGAGAACACTTGTCCCCTGGAAGTGCCGCAGGGGAGCTCTGAATTCGTTTTGGAGAAGAATTTCCAGATGTCTGATTTCGACTGGTAGCAGTAGCACAACATTTAATGCCTTTCTTTAGCTCTTTGACCCTGCAAATGATCATTTTATGTTAAATGTATTTTCTTGCATGATCTGTAATTATTTTTCTATAGCTTTCAGGGAAAATGAAAACCAAAGAAAGGAACTACAAGGAGTTGGAGTTATATTTTATCTGGGAGTAAGAGTAAATGGAGACTCCCGTAAGAGATTTCTCTTTACCAGAACAAAAAGACCAGTGTCTTCACTGCAGATAAGCATGTATCCAACATTCCATGACCTGAATTGTTTTGGAAATCACCACGGACGCTCATGAGGGAAAGTGCAGGGAGCTAATCTCACAACTGCACGTAGTCAGTGCAGGGTTTGCTGTGCTTCCTGAAGACAGGAAGACAGGTGAGGAGCCTTGAGCCCACCATTTGCCTAACTTTGTTCTATGGCCAGATTCTCACTGTTCTGCAAACCATCCCTTTCCAGACATCTCCAAGAAAATGAATTCCCTCAAACCTGTTGGAAACAAAAACCCTCTGGAAGAAAGAAGGCTTGTGTTAATTCCATTAAGGGAAGAATGACTTGTCTGTCCCATATTTTCTTGAGCTTAGCTTTAGTGGTATTTGGGGCCAAATAACTCTTTGCTGTGGGAGTTATTACGTGCTCTGCAAGCTGTTCAGTAGTATCCTTGGTCTCTATCCATTGCATGCCAGTAATACTTCCCCCTTGTCAAACAATCGAAATTATCTTCAGACATTGCATCGGGGAGGCAAAATTGTTTCCTCCCTCACAGAGGAATAGAGAACCATGCTCTATTCCACAGAGAAAATGGAAAAATCCAGAATTTTCTCTTAGGATTTGAGCTATAATTCAGCTACCAGGACCACAGTCTCTTATTCTATACTTAAAATAAAAATGTAAGGATTTGCAATTAAAACTGAATATTCAGTGCTGGTCTGTAGATTCTGCACTAAAATCCCCTGGGAGGAAGCAGGACTTCTGCATAGAAAAAAAAATTGTTTCCTGTTATTTTGGTCTATTCAATCCTTAATGGTAAATGTCTGCTCTGGTCATTTCTGAAAACCAAGACAGTAAGCTTGATACTGACACTTGATTTAAATCACTTAAAAACTTAGAGGCAGGGCAGGCAGATGACAGAGATGTGGGAAGTGACCATGAGCACATGAACTCTGTCCACGGACTTGTGCTTATGCGCTGTGGGAGTGGGGTGTACAAGGAACGGGCTGAGGGACGCCACAGTGTAAGTATAGATGGTTTCAAATTACTTCTTATAAAAATCGTAACTATTTTAGTTTCATTATGAGTCACAGTAAACAATTCTAGAATCCCGAGTGTTAAAAGGAATGTTACAGGTAATATGGTCATTGACCTGAGCTGTTAACACAATCACTCCTATCACTGAGCTCTCTTCTAAATCATGTTAAGGATCCAGTTGGAACTTTATTTTTGGACTACTTAGCAACATTCTTCAAGTATGTTTAAAAGAGAGAAAAAAAAGAAGAAATAAAAGAAGAAATAAAAAGAAGAAGAAATAAAATCATCCTCATCCAGTGTGTGTATAATTGTTACCTAAAACTAATTTCATTAGGCTTCATTTAGGTACATATAACAAGTGATTCTCATATTTATTTTCAATAATTTACTGCTTTTAACAGAAGAGATGATTTCTACTGTACTTTTTCTATTTTTTTTTAAACCAAAATTACTTCAAGTAATTTTTCAATTATACCCAAACCTGTATGAGAGAGGGTTATTTTCACCTTTCTTCACTCAGGCCCTGAGAAGTGTCTTATTCAGTTCTTAATGATGTTTTTACTTCAAGCAATTGCTATGCTATCTGTAATTTGGAAAGTGGGTGGAGTTCTGAAACCAGATCAGCTCAGATTTAATAATTTTGAAATTGAGTAATGGATATGAGGGAGTTAGGAACTTCAGGTCATACTGGTTTCTTGGGAGCAATTTTGGATTATCCCACATCTTCTATATGATCTCAGTTCAGGAAATAGCCTCTTGATTTTCTTCTAGCAGTGCTAATGTACAGGGAAACTTATTTAGAGGACCTATTACTATTATTATTGTTAAAGTTAACAGATAGGAAGCACTTAGTATTTGCCGGGTGCGGTGCTCAGCTTGTCATCTATAATTACCTCACTGACTCTGTATAACTTTTATATGAGGTAGGTGCTAATAGTATTCCTACTCAGATAAGGAAAGGGGGGCCCAGAGAAGTCAAAAACTTGTCCAAGGCACTCAGCTGGCTAGTGGCAGAAACATAGTACTGGCCAGATAATCTGACTCCAGAGCCATTCTTGTAACCACTTTGGAGACCATCTCTCCTGTTTAAATGAGATAAGGCACAAGGAGTGCCTCACTCAAGTCCTGACATCCAGCAGCACACTCCTCTTCTCACTCACAAAAACTTATTATGCATTCACTAAAACCAAATACTGGCTGGGCAATAGAGACACAGAGGAGAAAATGAGATAAGACTCCTTTTCTCACTTTCACCTAGTGAGTTTTATAAAATGCCATATATGCTAGAGATTCCTTAATAGTAGTAGAATGTTTTTCCTCGTATAGTTTGTTAGCCCTGAAGTCTCTGAGAGGTGGAAGAGGAGGCTATCAGACAGGCCCAGGCATCAGAGCAGCCAGAGGACAGCGTGGTAATGAGAGCTCCGTGGAAGGTATCAGTCATCTCAGTCAGAGGTGCCAGCCTTGCCTATTCCCGGTAAGTCCTTTTAAAGTTCCTGTCTAGGACTCAGTTTATCCTTCTGTCACATGTCTGGGTTGATCTCTTCTGGATTTATAAAGAAAGTTCTAAGTGATCTGTCTTGATAAGTACTCTATCCCGTACCATTGGGGCTAAGGCTAGCAGGAAGAAAACTTCATTGACCATTTCTCTCCAGAGAA